GCCATGCTCCATCTGGATTCTCCTGGGGTCCCGGGGAACCAAGTCCCTGGGAGTTGGGGTGACTGTGAAACAGAGACAGGGGCCTCATTAACCTTCCTCAGCTGAGCTGAAGGTCAGCTAGTCGTTGTCATTCTGCTCTCTCAATTAGCATCTGTTTTCATCCAAACAAGTGAAAAGGCTGAGTTTTAAGGGATTTTTACGATTTATCAGAACACCTTGACATGCCGTCTGGCCGAGCTTGATATTCATGTTAGATGTGTAAATATGAGAATGCCAATAACAAAAACTGTATTTTTTAAGAGGAAGGAGGTGGTTCTGATTACATGTCAGGAAGTTATGATGAGTAAGAACTCATGTCAGCAGAGACAAAGGGTTAAAGACACACGAAGGTCTTGGAACTGATACAACAGCCACAAACCAAGTGGAACAGGGCATGTGAGGGCCTAACCGAGCTCTGAATTGTGTGACCTAGACAGAATTCAAGGGGACAAATCCAATCTCAGTGGGAGATGTTATACAGGTCTCTGGGGACCAGAGGGTACAAAATCACAATTCATAATCTTGACCTAACAAACATGGACTTCACCAAATGAAGGGTGCACGTTCTTTCCAAGTGACCACAGAACCATAAAAAATTGACCACAGCCCTAGCCGGTTTGGCTCAGTGGATTGAGCGTTGGCCTGCGGACTTAAGTGTCCCAGGTTCAATTCTGGTCAAGGGCACATGCCCAGGTTGTGGGCTTGATCCCCAGTAGGGGGCGTGCAGGAGGCACCTGATCAGTTATCCTCTCTCATCAGTGATGATTCTCTCTCCCTCTCCCTTCCTCTCTGAAATCAACAAAGAAATATATATTTTTTTTAAAACAATTGACCACAGGAGAGGTCACATAGTAGTCTCAATAAACCTCAAAACTACTTTTTATCTGACCATCTTCATTGATCACAACGTGAGAGACAGACAGACAGGAAGAATGAAAATCTGTGGGAAATGAAAATCCTCCTTTGCAGGACTCATGCAGAGACAAACTAAGGACATCAGACTTGGAGATGATGAGGCGTTACCCTGCACTGGGGATGTTCCCCAAGGAGCATGGAGACCAGTCTGCTTTATATTCACTGACCAAGAGGTGAGAAAGGCTGAAAGTAAATGAAGTAAGCCTGCAACTTAAGCACCAGAAAATCTAAACTTAAAGAGAGGAAAATAATTAACGTAAAAGCAAGTTAGGACAGAAAACACTCCTACTGACCCCCTGTTCCCAACCCAAGAGGCCAAAACAGACCAGGAGCCGGTGCTCCGGGAAGACCCCAGCAGAGCCAGGCCACTGGGTGAGGGACAGGAGGAGGGACAAAAGAACGAGGTCAGAACGAGCTCATCAGCACAAAGCTGCGAAGCACCCCCCACACAGTGGGAGGGTCTCCCCACCCAGTGCCAGCCCACCACACCAGGCGGCCACTCCCCTTCCCTGGGAGCAGGGGCCCTGTTGGAGGGGATAAGGAAGGGGTCACGTGCACTCACTGTGCACCAACGGTGAGGTCCCCAGCCACTCCACTCCCAGACTGTTTGAACGGGGGGCAGGGAGTAACATTATAGAAGAAGGAAGGGGAGAAGGTGCCCCAAGAGAAGCAGGAACACCAGGGAGGGTGGTGACCTGGGGACTGGCGGCGGAGGTCAAGGTCAGGTCAACACAATTACCTTTGACCCATCACTGGCTAAACAGGCACTAGGCAGTCCAAGGCAGTTGGAGAAAGGAGATGGGACAGGCAATTCCTTTGAGTGGTGCAGCTGAGTAGCAAGGAGGGGGATAGTTGCTGGCAGGGGACATGGGCCCGGTTCTGAAAGGTGAGTAACTATGGAACAAGTAACAGCACCTTTGCACCTAATCACCAAGCAGGTGCTGAAGGAAAGTGACCATCTGGCCAAGCTGTCCGTCCCCCGACTTCAGGTGGAACCAGAAAGTGCACAGCAGAGAGGCAGGGATGAATGACAGCCGGCTGGGGAGCCCTGTGACCTTGGACTGGATTCTGAGTGGGGATAGACAGGACAACAGGTGCAGTGTAAATGTTGCCTCTGAACTACCGGTAACAGTGTCGGTATGAACTCCTGCCTCTGGCCACGGGTTCTAGCCCAAACACACACCGGCCAGGTGAAAGCGGCCTTGTGTCTACAACTACCAAAGGTTCAGAAAAATACAGATTCTGCACAGAACGGAGCAAGTGGGCAACATGCCAACAGCTGGAAGCTCTGGGCGAAGCCAAGAGGGTATACGAGGGGCTCTCAGTCCTATTCTTGTCATTCAAGTTTGAAATTGCATCAAATTTTAAACTGCCATAAGTAAGTGAAGTGAGCCATCTAAGTGCACAATCCCTCAGACACCTGGATGCCACAGTAACTAATGGAGGGACCCCCACTTAGAGGCTGCTGAATATAATGAAATGCAAACCCCATGGCTGGTCACTGGTTTGGGGGAAAACACAGCTGGTCGTTTTAAAAGCATTTTGGGGACCTGTGACTATGAGACAACATCAGAGAACTACAATCAATGTAGGGAGCAGGACGATGGCCTGGTGAGGAATGCGGATGACACACGAGCAGATGCTCAGCGGAGAAGGGTCACGTTTGCAGCTGTCTTTGAAGTCGCCCCACAGATGTGAGTGAGGCTGCTGTGCTCAGGTATCTGCCCTGCAGCAGGCTCATCAGGAAAATGACACAGCCAGGCACCTACTTGCTGACAAGGACCCACCGCCCCTGCAGACTCACCGTCACCCCAGACACTCAACAGTCCGGGAAAGCCGTGGGTTCCACCCCGTTTCTCCCTGTCCACCCAGCAGCTCAAGCCAGAACTCCGAGTGCTCCCCAACCCCTCCTCCAGCACGCCTACATCCCAGCCCAGCAGTCTCGGTGAGTGCTCTGTGACCTTCAACCAGGGTCTTCACCTCCACTCCCGCCCCGACCTCTCCCTTCCCAGAGTCCAGGCTCCTCACACAGCAAAGCGGGCCACTTGCGCCTGACCCCTGCGAGGCTGCGGACACTGGCCTCAGACGGCCGCACGGCCGTGTCCCTTCCTTGAGTGCTGGAGACGCCACCCACGGGCCAGTTTATTTGAAGTATGACTGAGCAGAAGCCTGGTTGAAGCAGGAAAGTTTTGTGGAATAAAATGTGTACTAAGATAACTCAGGAAAATCACTTCAGACTCTCATGCATCGTACTGAAAACAAAGACATTCATGCAAGTAGGGGGGTGAGTTACTGAGAAAAAGCGAGGGCCGCATGTGTTTAGGCTGTTTGCTCCCTAATTCCCCCCTTAACTGGCGTCACTCCAGCCCGTTTCTTGATGTTCTTATGATCTGATGCAGAAACAATCTTTAAATTCAATATAATTAAATTTCAGAAATGCCCAGGATTCATACTGTCCATAAAATATAGTACCTATAAATCAATCTGAGAGTGTGTGTATATTGAACAAGGTTTTTGCTGTTGTAATTCCTCCATCGTACTTGAATGAGTTCTATTAATAATTCTCTAATAGGTACACAGAGCCAAACATTAAATCATTTAAAAAGTATAAAAGCTTTATTTTATTAAAATAACCCACAGTCTACCCCTAACAAACAGTGTTAAAGAGCAACTGCATGACAAACAACCGTAAGTGATCCGTAAGAGGGAATCCAACATAAGCATTGCTTGGAAATGCAATTAAATAGACAACGAAAACCAGGACGAAGATGAAATATGAAGCTCACATGACGCAGACAAGGAAAGCAGAGCAACTCAGCACGCCCGGCCACGTTTGCAGCGTCCAGCATCTGGACACAGGCGGCTTTTTTTAAAATCCTCACCCAAGGATGATTTCATTGATTTGATTTTTTTTTTTTTTTTTTTTTTTTTTTTAAGAGAGAGAGGAAGGGGATGGGGGAGAGAGAGAAACATCATTGTGAGAAACATTAACCAGCTGCCTCCTGTATGCACCCTGACCAGGAATCAAACATGAAAACTAGGTATGTGTCCTGACCAGGAATCAAATCCACAACCTTTTGGTGTACAGGACAACGCTCTAACTGACTAAGCCCTGGCCAGGACTTGAGGCTCTTTTTTAAAAGGTTCCATATTTGTCACACCAACCTCAGCTTGGTTCTCCAATCAGACTCGTGCTGCGGCTCACTTCACTAAAGCCTCATCACCAGTCAGCCTCACCGCTAGCTCTGGAGCCCAGGTGTCCGGGGGAGCTCAGCAGCCACAACTGCCACCACCGGCACTCTCTCCTCTGAACCATGGAAGAGGCGGACGAGACCTACACCAAGCACTCAGTTCTAGGGGGACCCAAGCTCACTCATTCACTGGGAATCCAACAGATGGTCAAGGACATGCTGGCCCCAGAGCCCCAGGTCAGCCAGTCACCCAACCCACACAAGGGTCTCTCTCCCGCCTTTGGAGGCACTGAAATCCAGACCATTCACCTGTCATTTACCTGCCCTTTGCTTGCTTTATCCCTTTGGGTTTTCTGAGGGCAAAACCACTTCCTCCTCCAGTCTCTGAAAGCCCTCTCGCCCAGTCCAACCCACCCAACAGTGCTCAGCCTGTGCGACCGTCATCTCCACCACCGTGGAGCGAGCAGGCCAGGCGGAGCCACTTCACTCAGTGACAGCACGTGCCACGAGCGAGCTCTGCCCACAATGACTCTGTAACGCCCGATTCCGGAAACAGAGGACAGTTTGAGATCTTCAGGGAAAGGGACACATAAAAACACGGAGGAGCTGACAAACTCCTGAAACTCCCCCTGGACTCAATACTCACCTTTTTTATATAATAGGTTTTTATTGATCTCAGAGAGGGAGCGAGAGGGAGAGAAACATCAATGATGAGAGAGAATCATTGACTGGCTGCCTCCTGCACACCCCACACAAGGGGTCGAGCCCACAACCCAAGCATATGCCTTGACCAGGACTTCCTGGTTCAGAGGATGGCGCTCAACCACTGAGCCACGCTGGCCGGGCAATACTCACCTTCTTCAGAGAATCTCCGTGGCGCTCCTGAATGTACTTTAGGAACGCAGTGGTCCACTGCAGGGTTGTGGCCTTATCTGTCTCAGCGTTGCAGAACGGGACCAAAAGATTCAACTCATCACAGCAAATGCGGATTCTGCGCCTACAGCAAAATCCAAAGCAACACAGAGAATCTGAAGCAAACACAGAGCTGAGCAAATGTGTGTCACTTGAAGAGTCAGAGCTCAGGGGCCTGGCACCGTGTGCATGGGCAAAGGCCTCCGTCCCCCAGAGCCTGGGGCCCACGACTGCCCTCGCAGAGCTCCTTCCCTAGGCCACTCCTACCCTGGGCACCCTCCTCGGAGAGTCTCGCTATTTACTTCTCAGGGGCCAGGGTCAAGGATCTAGACCACATGTGTCAAACACAAGGCCCGCGGGCCAAATCCGTCCCGCCAGGCCTTGCAATGTGGCCCGCACCGCGCTGTCATCACTGCACTCCGCTGCGTTTCCATCACAATGACAGTTTATGACTGTTCAGTAAACCATTCGGCCCGCGATTTAGGCTGGATTTTAGATTTTGGCCCCTTCTCTGATTGATTGAGTTAGACACCCCTAGTCTAGACCAACGACAGACCCAAACCCTAAAACTGGAAGCAAAGGGCCGTGTTCTTTATTGGGCAGGTCACCCTCTCCCTCAAGTAAGCTGCCTGCCATGTGCCCGGACGAAGATCCCAGCCTCACTTCGCCCAGGGAACTGGTTCAAAAAGGACCAGACAACAGCCTATTAGCACCTGGAAACCTGGGCTCCTTCGAGACCATTTAAATCACAGCTGGAGGCACGATGAGGCCAGCTGTAACTTTCACCATATGGCTAGTGACGTGCGGAGCTGACCTAAGCTGACACTGAACAGTGCACGGGACATGACCCTCGTCCTGGCCTCCCACTGAACACGCATGACTTCACGACCTTGTGAGCACAGCTGGCACTTAGTGGTGCTCTCACCTCTCATCAGCTTGCTTAATTTTAACCCAAACCTACATAGTAGACAGTAACTCTTAGAGACGGAAACTCAGGGCGGGAAGGAAAGAGCTGGCGGAGGCTGTTGTAGACTAGGACATGGCAGAGTGAGAATGGAAACTTCTGCTGTGAGCATGTGAGGCTTTTCCCAGAGCAGGTGCTCAGCACATGTCTTCTACAGAAATGCCAGAGGAGAGATGCTGAGATGCTGGTCCCACAGGACTGGTGAGCTCAAGGGGGTGTGTGCATCCCAGTCCCTGGTATCGGCTGGCTAAACTGTATCCCTTTGGAGCAGGGGTGGGGAAACCCGGCCCTCAGACCATATCTTGCTCTCGAAATCATTTGGTCTGGCGCTATCAAGGCATTAGGGATGAGTTAAATGTTTGATCAAATGTAGCAGCTAACTTTTAAAAAATATATTTTATTGATTTTTTTTACAGAGAGGAAGGAAGAGGGACAGAGAGCTAAAAACATCGATGAGAAAGAAACATCGACCAGCTGTCTCTTGCACATCCCCTACTGGGGATGTGCCCACAACCAATGTACAAGCCCTTGACCGGAATCGAACCTGGGACCTTTCAGTCCTCAGGCCAACACTCTATCCACTGAGCCAAACTGGTTTCGGCTATAGCAGCTAATTTTAAGCTGATAATCTTGTCTGGCCCAAGAATGATGTTACAAATATCCAAACGGCCCTGGGCAGAAACAAGGCCCCCACCCCTGCCTTAGAGGTAACCTGCCTCAGCTCCACCATGGACTTCGTCTTGGTGCAGCTGCACCTCTTGAGCCTCCTACACACACTGGCCTGCATGCTCAATGAATGACTGCGTTAACTCTGTGTTAGAAAACTTCATGTAAAACCCCAGCTGCAAGAGAGAAACACTAACCACCCCGACTCTACGCAGAAGCTGCAAATATATGTAGAGACAAAACGACTTAACAGTTTTAAACCCCTTCTTCCCCAACATTCTTACGGGAACCAGGACAAACTGGTGACAAGGGCTGCAGGGGAACTGCCTGCAGGCCACACCCCCATCAGGAAGAAGGCATGTCCATGCGGCTGGCCTGGCTGGCACCTGGGAACGTAGTAGTATTTCCCACCATCGTGAGGTAACAGAGGCTCCCTGTGCCTGAGCGGCTTGCACAAACAATGTGGTCTGCATGAAACACAGGCTTTCCTTCTGGGTCTGGAGCCTGACTGTGTGCTGGGCAGGGGACACCCACAGGACTGGTCCCAACACAATCTCGGGCATGGAGTCTGCTGACAGCTTTCACATGTCCTAGAACTCAGTGCTTCACTCCCCAGCAAAGAACCATTGGGAGGCCCCTCCCCCATCTCAAAACTTTCCATGTCTTTTCTTTATTTATTTTTTTTAAATATATTTTATTGATTTTTTACAGAGAGGAAGGGAGAGAGATAGAGAGCCAGAAACGTTGATGAGAGAGAAACATTGATCAGCTGCCTCCTACACACCCCCTACCGGGGATGTGCCCGCAACCAATGTACATGCCCTTGACCGGAATTGAACCTGGGACCTTTCAGTCCGCAGGCCGACACTGAGCCAAACCGGTTTCAGCTCCATGTCTTTTCTAAGCGATCAGGATGGACTGGGGGTGTTGGGGACTCTAATCCACCCAGCAGAGCCAACTCCATGTTTACTCATGTGAACTTATCCTCCTGCTTTTACGGAAAGGTGCCTGTTATCACTAATATGTCGATAAGTTAGGTGACCACACGCTCCAAAGCTCGGTCCCACACACACACGTTACCTTCTGTCCCTCTCCATGCGGTTGTGCCTTTCCCTGCGCTGTGACCTTCCGCCGGGGGCGCTCTGGGACTGCTCTCCAAGGTGGGACTGTGATGACTCTGCGGACTGCCAGGCGCCCTGGGCGGTGGCGGCACCTTCACCCACGTTCTGAATCTCTCCGAGGGCTCTTCGCTCCACACTGGTGTCCAACTGACGTATCCTACTCCGATTCCTCTTATTTATCGCTTGTTTGCACAGCGCTTCTTCTTTGCAAAAGAAGAAAAAAAGTAGAACTTTAATTATTTATTTTTAACTTACCGCCAGTAATGCTGAATATATTGTTGGCATCTTGAATCCAAGACATAAACATTAATGGGAAAGGAGCACAGAGACCCGAAGAGGACGAGCTGGACACAAAGGCAACTCCGTGTGAGCATCAGCTCCAAGCTCCCCATTCCAAACACCAAACGGGCACAACCCTACAACTAAGTCACATATGCCGAGTGCTCACCAGCACAGCCTTGCCCAAGCCCCCCTTCTTAATCCACAGGCGCTGTCACCTCAACACCCAACAAGTTATTTGATTTTTCTGATATTCAGAGTGGGGGGAAAGCTGAAATTATTCTAATCAGTGGTATTCTACCTGCAATCCTCAGAAAAGGACAAAAGTGGTTAAAGATTCAACTCACCCTCACCTTTCAAGTGATTCTTCCTACATGAGGGGCGATCACATCAGAGCTACAGAAATACATTGTTTCCAGCAGACACAGAACAGCCCACACCTAACTGGTGGGTGCGGTGATGTGCATCCCGAGAAGCCACATTCAGAATATTGGACAGAGGGAATTTGCAGGCATTGGTAATGCTTTATTACCTAAGCTGAGTAACAAGTACAGGAACTAATCACTCTTAACCTTCACACCTGAAATGTTAACCTACGCTTTTGTAGCGAGTGTCACAAAAACAAGGAGAAAATCAGTTACTGCCACGGGAGGAAGCAGCAGCCCTCTCCCAGCCGGTGTTCACAGCTCCCGGAAAGCGGAAAGCGTAGTGCCAGCTTACTGGTGGGTGACTGAAAACCAATCCTTTCCAGGGAAAGGGGAGAGTTAACATCTGAGGAAAGAAGTTTGCCTCAGTAGTGTCTTTATCACCTGAGGGCGGCCCGCCTCCAACTCAGACCTCCGCCCACCCGCACTGTCCCCTAAAGCTTCTAGCAGATTTCGGGCCTTACTCACAAGGAAAACAAAAACAAACAAGCCTGTGTGCTTTGCTGACTTGAAGGTAACTGAAACTCCATGTGAATCTATCATTTTTGTGGTGGGGTGTTTACTACCAAGAACAGGCAGCCCCAAACGCAATGTTCCAGACCAAGTGTAATACGGGCAATTGCCGAAAGTGGGGTGGCGAGGGGAAGACACTTCCAAGACTGGTCATGTTCCTAAACCACCGCCCCCTGGACAGACCACAAGGACAGGAGGGCAAAGGTCGGGCAGAAGTACCTGTTCCCTTCCACTTGGTGGCTTACCTCCCACTTTAATCCAAACCTGCTCAGGCAAAGCTTTATTTCTACTACCTAAAGTCTGCTTCGTGGATTCAATTTCTTGTTGGTAACAGAAAGAAAATGCTCTTGGTAATCCAATATCCTGATGTTTGGCAGCCTCAAGTATAGAACAGGAGTTATTAGAACTCTGGAAAAAATGAAGCAACGGGAACTTCATCAATATGCGCCTCCTCTTTCCTGTACAAATGCAATGCAGTAACAGCAGTGACGTCAAAGCTATTAATATGCAACATGAAAAGCTTAGGTCACAGAGGACTTCTGAAAATTCCCTAACCAATTTGTTAATGTGGGCTACACTGACACACAGGTTATGCTTCCATCAGAGTAATTTTATTACAGTGGTGGCAATGAGACCTGTAACACTTTTTGCAAATAAAAAAAATCCTCTAACCACATAAATGCTCTCAATTTTATATGTTGTTTCTTTTTGTATTAAATTTTGGAGAGAGGAAGAGAGAGAAGCACCCATGTGAGGGAGAAACACCAATCGGTCACTCCTACTCACGCCCCAACTGGGGATGGAGACTGCCCTAACCAGGAATGGAACCCGCCACCTTTGGCTGGATGGATCAACACTCCAACCAACTAAGCCACAAATGCTATGCTAGCTATTTGAAAAAGTTAAAAAGGTCCATGAAAGAACCTAAATAAAGAACTTCACGTCACTAAAAGCCACTGTCTGCACCTGTGTCTGTGAGAGGCTGGAGCCCCCTCCAGAGGAGCAGGCATTCGCAGTGAACAGGGGGTAGGTGAGCTGCAGAGTAGTGGCAGCGGCAGCAGTCTTATTTTTCACTAACGCTGTGCATTTGTTTTGTTGCTGATGAAGAGGAACGTTCATTAACTCGGATGGATGTCGAATAAGAGTCACCAAACTGCGAGACAAAAGAAAACCCAGAAACACGTGATGATTCGGCTGGAAAGCTTCCTGAAACACGGCCACCATTTACATCACATCTAGCGGTGACACTGCATTTCCCAGAGGTGCTCCAATCTGTCGGAACACACCAAGCAATTGTCAACTGGTGAAACGGACAAGCTCAACCTTCTTCCTCACCGAGGGAGACTGTCACCTTTTAGTTATACCTCCTCCTCCCGTCACGCCCTGGACACCACTCTCTTTTGAGAGCCATCCTCCAAAATCATGGCTCTGCACAAAATGGGGAAACCACAGGGAGGGGATGGATGGCCAGCTGCAGGGTTACGGGAGCAGGTAGGCTGGGAGTCTCCTCAGAGCCCGCAATCCGTCAACCTCCGGTAAGGCTCCTCACCCATTCATTCCCAGCGGACCTGCTTCCTGCCGATGCAGCCTCCGCCCCGACCCTCCCTCCACCCCAGGCGGCCAGACCAGCCCCGCCGCCCGCGGCCCGGGACCCACTTGTTGAGCGCCACGCCGGGCTCGGGGGGCTCGGCGCCGCGCGGCGCGGGCGGGGGCTCGGCGGGGATGCTGTTGAAGCGGTCCTCCAGGCGGACGCGCACCGCCGACTTGGCCCGCGCCTCGCAGGCGCCCTCGGCGGCGGCCGCGTTCTCCTTGCCGGCGGCGTCGGGCGCCTTGGGCCGCGCCGCGCCGGAGCCCGGGCCGTCGGCGCCCGGCGTCTTCTCGGCGGCGGCGGCGGCGGGGGGCGCGCCCGCCTCGCTCAGCAGCATCATGCGCAGCTCCTGGAAGTCGATGTGGCCCAGGCACGGGTTGGCGCCCGCGAAGCCGCCGTCGGCCAGCGCCGGCGGGCACAGCAGCGGGTACACGGGCGCCGCGCCCCCGCCCGCCGCCGCCGCCGCGCCGCCCGCCGCCGCCGCGCCCCCCGCCGCCAGGAAGGCCGAGTT